GGGCCAGGACTCGTGCCAGGGCGACTCGGGTGGTCCGCTCACGGCCGTCAAGAACGGCAAGGAGGTCCAGATCGGCGTCGTCAGCTGGGGCGAGGGCTGTGCGCAGGCCAACAAGCCGGGTGTCTACTCGCGCCTCTCGTCCGGCAAGGACTTTATCGCGCCGTACCTCACCAAGTCGAGCCTCCGCACCGAAGCCAACTAGACTTGCAGTTGTTGCCGCTGGTCGTCGTTGGATCGTCTCCGTGTCTGCGCAAACGTTGTCGCTCGTCTCGCTTAAGTCTTTCCTGTTAACATTGTTTGCAGTCTTTCCTTCTAAGGAGATCATCCTTTCATAACATCGCATACGTAGATCACTTGCTACATGTATTGAAGCACATTCACTTGGCAACAACAGCGTTCAACAACACGTGAGCCTTCCCGCGTTGGATCAACGAAATAGTGTATAGCACACTATCTGAACGATTTCGCGGGTCAGTTCAACGGGCGAAACGGCGGTGCTGGTATTCTTGAAAGTGCGGCATCGATGGACGCTGCCTGGAGTCGCCGCACGTATCACCGTGCGCCACGGCCCAATGTCCTCGAGCCCCGCATCGTCGACCGCATTCTCCAGTTTGTCGCGAGCCCCGTCCTGCTCTTTGACGTGGCGAGCCTCCTTCCACGCGGCTGCCTCAGCAGCGGCCTTGACGCGCTCCTCGAGCTCTCCAACGCACAGCCCGATACGCATCTCTGGCCCGTGCTGCGGCTAAGTGCGAACGCCTATGAGCCCGCTCTACGGCCGGCACTGCGCGACGCGCTTTTCTTTGTCGGTCAGTGTTCGATCGATGCGAGCGCCAACCCCGAGCAATGGGCGGACGTGCTTTGGCCCAGCACACAGCTCCACATTGCCAACATCAAGACGCCATTGCCGCCAACGCTGGCCTTTTTGACCAAGCACAAGCAGCAACTTCAAAGCGTCGAGGTGCATGACGTCGAGGCGCGCGGCCAGCAATCAAGCGTCGTGAGTCTTCTCAAGTCGAGCGACAGCTTGCGTCGCGTCTCCATCTACTGGTACGGCAATGCGAAGCAACTCAACGCGTTTTGCAAGGCAGTCCTCGACAACGCCGGCGTCGTGGACGTGCGCCTCATCAACGGGGAGACCCCTGCGATCGAGCTGGACGACTCGTTCGCTGACGTTTGTGACGACATTCCACTGCCAACGCCTGCGACCAACTCGCTTTTTTCAATGATCAGAAAGAGTCGGCTCCGTGCGCTTGCGCTCAACGGCCTCACCTTTGACGAGACAAAGCATAAAGCGTTTCAGAAACTCATGATGTCGAATCACGGGCTCGAGTCCCTCGAGCTCGTCCGGTGCCACGACATTGTACCGTCGAGCTTTCACACGTTTTTGTTCTCGCAGACGCTGCGCGTGCTACGCGTTACCAGCGCCAGTCTCATGAGAGAAGATTGCTTTAGCGCCGCGCAGGGTTCCAACGTGCACACGCTCGACCTCTCGGAGCAGAACATGGACGAGTATGGCATGCTTCGCCCAACTCTTCATGGCGTAGCCCGAATGAAACATCTCCAACGACTGCGTCTCAGTCGAGTCGGTCTGCACGACGAAGCCATTGGCTGGGTGGTCCGCGCGCTGCTGCCAACGCGCGTCCGAGAGCTCGATCTCAGCGGTAACGAGATCGCACGCGCCGACATCAAGTACTTTGCGCGGACACTGCCGCAGTGGCGGGCCCTCGAAGTCTTAAACCTCTCGGGCAACCCAATCTGCGACGACGGCGCGAGTCAGCTTTTTGCGGCACTGCCATACGCACTGCCGGCTTTTCAGCGCTTGCAATTGTTTGAGAATTTCCTCGGCGACCGCGCCGTCATGGCGCTGGCGTCAGCGCTGCCGTATCTCCAGCACATGGCTGAGATCGACGTCTCATACTGCGGGCTCCGCATCGACCACGTCAAGGCACTCATCGTCGCCTTGTCCCGCGCGCGGCGCCGGGTCCGTCTGAACGTGTTCAATTCTCGCTGGTCCGACGACGAAATTGCACAAGTGTGTGCGATGGCTCGAAGCGCGCGCCTCATGGCGACGTACCGAACCCACGCGAATGTTCCGTCGTCGAGACAAAAGCATCGTTCCAAGAAACACGAAACGTATGCGCGCCTGGACATCTTTTAGACAACTGGAGACAAATGGACTATGAAACGAATATATTGAGCTGCATGTGGTCCACCGCCAGGAGCGACGATAAAAGTAAGCTTTCTGGTGTGCAAGGCAATCGAACATACAAGTTGAAGCTGTAAAGACTAGGTCCTGCGGAGTGGGCTGGTAGGAACCGTTTTAGAGAGAAATTTAGCCATAAACGATGGGCGATCTTTGGATATTAAAGCTCAACTTAAAGTGCCGCGACCCCTGCATCTTTCAAGCTAAAAGTCCGTCAGCGTAAGGCTGGATTGGCGTGGATAGGTTGTCGAGGACTTGAGAAGCGATCAAATGCAATGTGAAAGGAGACCAACCTTTGAAAAAACTAAACAAACGCGAAAAAGACAGAAAATACCCAAAAAGAATTTCGTTGTTGCTCTCGGTGTCGGCAATGTCGCTGTGGTTTTCGCACTCGCATAGCTCGATGATGGCATAGAGTGTCTACTGGACTCTCAAAAATGCTATGCCATGAGGGTTTTGAACCATGTCCCCGTTCCAAAGCTCTGCCATCGTAGGACTGCATCACACAATACGCCGCCTTGATATAGGTCAATGGGTGGTGGGCTCACCGAGAACGCAGCAAGTCACACGCTGACATGATTCGTCCGTAGTGTCCCTGAAGTTACGTCTGCTCTGTAGTGCCCCTGCAGTGATGACGCACCAAAGATAAAGCTATACTGGTACCTTGTTTCTCATGCACGACTGGAGCTTGCCCCATGGTTTGCGAGCTAGCTTACGATCTCAAAGCCTTCAAGACACACAACACGCCTTGCTGTCCACTCTGTATTGTCACGACACTTGGATTCCTTCACAGCAAGGCTATGGACCCTGAAATGGAAGAAGGAAAGACTGCAAACAATGTTAACAGGAAAGACTTAAGCGAGACGAGCGACAACGTTTGCGCAGACACGGAGACGATCCAACGACGACCAGCGGCAACAACTGCAAGTCTAGTTGGCTTCGGTGCGGAGGCTCGACTTGGTGAGGTACGGCGCGATAAAGTCCTTGCCGGACGAGAGGCGCGAGTAGACACCCGGCTTGTTGGCCTGCGCACAGCCCTCGCCCCAGCTGACGACGCCGATCTGGACCTCCTTGCCGTTCTTGACGGCCGTGAGCGGACCACCCGAGTCGCCCTGGCACGAGTCCTGGCCCCTTGACACCGCCCGCGCAGATCATGGACTCGTGGATGCCGTTGAGGTTCTTGGCGCACTGGTCGTTGGCCCACACCTTGACGCCGACCTCGAGCAGCACCTTGGACTGCGAGCCGCCGGAGCGGGT